TCATTCCACTCCTCCTTCATATCGTCACTTTGCTCTTAACGTTACCACACATTTTTAACCAACCTTTTATTCCTAAGTTTATCAAAATTCCAAATGGAGAGAATCAATGACATTGAAAATTAAGGCATTAGAGGATAATCGGACTTGGTTTATCACTTATTTGCCTCATGGTAAGCAAAATGTTGGGTGTAAGTGGGTGTATAAGGTGAAATACAAAGTAGATGGTTTTGTGGAAAGATACAAGGCACATTTAGTGGCCAAAAGGTATACTCAAACTGAAAATCTTGATTACCAAGACACTTTTTCTCCCGTGGCCAAAATGACCACTCGTCATGTTGCAAATGCTAAGGGTTGGATCTTAGCTCAATTGGATGTCAATAATGCATTTTTGCATGGTAATTTACATGAAAAGGTCTACATGAAGCTTCCCTCAAGTTTTGTAGTTTCGAGTGCGACAACAAACCTGTTTGTAGAGTTCGGTTAAGTCCTTATATGAGCTTAAACAAGCTTCAGACAATGATTCTCCAAATTTTCTTCCACTTTGATTGCAATAGATTTTATTCAATCCCAATGCAATTAGTCTTTATTCACTCACATTGATGGAAGCCAATTTACTACCTTATTGGTTTATGTGAATGATGTGGTAATCTCGGGACTAACGGTAAGATTATTGTAGTTTGAAGCATTTGTTGGATGCTAAGTTTAAAATCAAAAACCTTGGAGACTTAACATATTTTTTTGGCATTGAGGTTCTTCGTACTCCGGATGGTCTTTACCTTAATCAAAGGAAATATGCCCAAGACATTCTCTCTAATGTTGGTCTTTTAGGAGTTAAACCTAGTTTTATTTCTATGGATCAAAATCATAGGCTTAATGCCTCCGATGGGGATAGCTTGACCGATCCTATGTCATATCGATGATTGGTTGGCGGCTTGATATACCTCACCATTTCAAGGCCTAATCGACTTACCCTATCCACATCCTCGGTCAATTCATGTCTTATCCCGAATTCCTAACATGAAGATAGCACGCAAGGTTCTCAAGTATGTTAAGGGAACCTTAGGTTAGGGATTATTCTTTCTAGTAACTTAACCATTGAATTTAACGAGCTTTCTATGATGCTGATTGGGTACGCTTGTCCAATGACTCGAAGTTCCATCATTGGGTATTGTATCCAATTAGGAGGCTCACTCATCTCTTGGAAAACTAAGAAGCAACATACAATCTCTAATTCCTCGACTGAATCCGAATATAGGGCTATGACGTCGGTTCTTTGTGAACTTACTTGGCTTCGAATCTTTTGGCGAGTTGCATATTTCGACTTAACTGCAATACCATTAGCTTGTGATAATCGGGCAACCTTGCACATAGCATCTAATCCTATCTATCATGAACGCACGAAACACATTAAACTTAATTACCACCATGTTAGAGAGAAGTTGCGACGAGGGATGATTTCCCCCATTACGTCTAAACTCGATCACAAGTTACGGATTTGCTTACCAAGTCTTTTGGCAAAGCTCGGTTGCGAGTTCTTCCTTGGCAAGTTGGGCATTTGCAATCTACTGGAAATTCCAACTTGAGGGAGATGTTAAAATGTATATAGCCTAAATGGCACTTTTGTAATTAAGTAATAGATGAAAGCTAGTTAGCAAGTTAGTCATTCAAATTAGTTAGCTAGCCGTTAGAAGTTTGTTATGTCGGTATGTAACAAACTGATTTTACAATAGCATGTATATACTTTTCTTTTGTAACTTTGCTGCAAATTAAGAGAACATAGCATTTTGCTCTAGTTCATACTCTTCCTCACTTTCTTGCCTTATCTTGGATCTTGCTTGCTTGTTCTTGAAATAAGTTGGTAATCTAATTTCTCACGAGTATAATAATTAAAATAAGTTGGTAATCTATTCGTTTTTTTTTAAAAAAAAAAGAAAGTCTAATTGGCCAATGGCTTACATTTTAGAACATAAAGAGAGGCCTATTTTGATAGAAGATGGGACTAAAAAAAATCAAAAGTTCCACAAATTTGTAATAATCCTAAACAAATGGAGAAGCAGAGATAATAATAAAATACAAGCATACGGCCTTACACTATTTTGAAAGGGTTAATCACATCAAATGTCTCTTCAATTTTCTTAATATGGCATCTGTATTTTTTTTATTCAATTCCTTTTTGTATTCTTCAATTTTTCTTAATGTGATATCTCTCATTGAAATCTTATCAATTTTTTATTTAAAATTGATAGGTGGTAAAAAAAATTATCATATTGTGTGACATGTCATATTTTTTACCAAATAAAAAGAACAAAAAAAATTAATTTTTTTTATGAAAAGCACAAGAAAAAAATAATTTACAAATTCAAACCGACATTAAACTTAAAAATTCAAAAAAATTCTCTTCTTCAACATTCAGCCTGCAAATAATGCATTAATTTGTAATAGAAACCAAAAATTAAAACTTCAAGAAAAAATCAAAATCATTACAGAAAAATCACACAACACAATTTAATTATCCACTAGAGTACAATCAAACACCAACTCTTCAACTTCAACTCTAATGAATAAACCAGGAAATAAACCTTTCTCTCGGTGGGCATGAAGAAGATAATTCGAAACCAAGGCGACGCACTTTTTCCATTCCTATTCGACTTGCAGTAGCCCAAGCATTAACAAATGTGTATGCATCAGCTACGACATATGATGTACTTAAACAAATGGCTAGTCCACCAGTTTCAAGCATGTTGAATTGAACTATTATCAGAGGATTGCCACCGGGTACAAATAGACTTGGAGCCAATTGATTCCGCAACTTGGTTTCAAGTTCTCCTCCTTCGAGGAAAAGCTTGTGATGGTAGCATATCTTATGGCGATCAGTGGCACGAAGAAGCCACGTGAAATACCGTGAGCATATTTCATCCTTTCACATTTCACACTCATCAATCATCAAATTTCATGAAATCAAATCCCTCTGAGACATTTTTACAAACAGCTGCCAAGCAACCAAAATTCAATCTTCAAATTGCACATTGCCATCTATCAGCAAATTTTGTCATAATCTCAAATTTACCCCTTTTAACTTTTTTATAATTTTATGTTATTTTATTTCATTTTTAATTATATAGTATAAGTCTTCCATGAATTTTATTTATTTTTTTATTATTATTGTTATTTTTTTATCATTAAATTTTAATTATATTTATCATTCTAAAATAAAAAAATAAAAAATGAAACAAAAACAAAAAAAAGGAAGGAAAAAATATTCAAAACAATTTGAATTAATTTCCCTTTTAGTTTTATTATCTTACTATAAATATGAAAATAAAAAAAAGAGGAAAAGAAAAAATATACAAAAAGGACGTGATTAATTATTAAGAAAATACAGCAATGACATGATTGAACAAAATAAAAAAGAACAGAAACCAAAATCAATGAGCGCAAAAGTAAAATTGCAAAAAAAAAAAAAAAAATGAAAAAGCGAAAGACTAACTTAACGCTTTGAAAACGGCGTCTTTTAGAAGATAGTGTCTTCCTCAGATAAATCGCACGCCATTTCCTTTTATTTTTTTTGTTATTTTCCTCGTTTGGACAGACGTGGGTTCTATCGTCCATCTCCAGCTGGCCTCGTCCCTCTCTTCCCTTCCCTCTCACCTCGTCCAGGCTGGCTTCGTCCTTCACTAGCTCCTTGATTCACATCATATTGCAAGCTACAGCAAAAGCAAACAAGGTAAGATGAGACACTGGAAATTAGGAGGATGATAACACCAAAAGAAAAGGTGGACGACCAAGATTAATACTGAGGAACAAACAGCCAGAATCAAGCCAGAGGGACAAAATTCCAGATGGTTCTCAAGGGTTTATAAGAGAGACCTAAACTGGCAGTGAGGAGGAGGTCCTTCTGAGTTTTAGGATTTTCAATAAAGAGAGAGAGAGAGACTAGAAAAAAAAAAAAAAAAGGGGAGAGAACAAAAGATTTTGATTTTAAAAAATATGTTAGAAATTAATATAAATTATATTCTATAGCTTCATCTATTAGTTTAAGTTTTCAAGTGAGATGATCCTTCAATATAATATTAGAGCTTAATTAATTATATGATCCTGAGTTTAAGTTTTATCTTCTTCAATTTCTTAAATATTAAAACATCAATTTAAGTTTTTAGGTAGGATGATACTTAAATAATGTATTCAAAAAACTCTCTATTCTTGACTACTGAAAACAGGAGAAGAAGTGGAGAGGGAAGTGTTACTGTGTATCACATCATCACGCCCAGACTTGTTCCCTATTCATCTTGAGCTTCAACAAAAACTTCCTGCAAGCTTTCTTTATCCAGACTTGTTTCCTGTTCAGACCGAGCTTCAATCTGTCCATCACAGCACTGAATTCTACCAGGTAGTATCCTCGCTCTTCTTTTCTTTATTTTACAGTTTAGATCATGTTTATGAATATAACTAATGAAGTTCTTAAAAACATAAGTAGATCAAAATCCAAATTAAATCTTTATCAAAATTACTTTTTGTTGTAAGTACTATTAAGTCTATCAATTTTTTTTTTTAATAATAATAATAAGCACGGGTGCCTGACATGAGAAAAATGATAATAAGTTTGGAGCGAATCTAGCGTTTTTTAAAAAAAAAAAAAAAAAAAAAAAAAAAAAAAACCTTCAATATTGTCAACATCTTCCCTCAAATTTCCATAAGAAATCAGCGTTTTTCCTCAATTTACCCAATCTAGTATATAGGTTTTTTAGTCTCTAAACTTTTGAAATTTGATCAAATAAAATCCTTTTAAATTAATTTCAAAAAAGTTTACAGACTAAAAAATGATTTCGTTAGTTGATTTCTGATGCAACTTTAAAGTAACATTGGCAAAATTAAACTTTTATTTTAACCTTATACAAAAAAAAAAAAAAAAAAAAAAAAAAGGCAAATCTTGAACCCATAAAATTTAAGCTTCAAATAAATGGCAAACCATTCCCCTTTTTGGGAGATATTACACGGTGGATTCATGATATGTTACTCATCATATCTTCAATTAGACGACCCAGCGAAGAGAAGGAAGCTCCACCAGGCTTCAAGGTTTTCTCACTTACGCTACTCATCTCTTTCACTTTCTTTCTTGTTTCACTTTCCTGCTCCATCACCAAATTTATAGCTTTGATTATATCGTCACTACCCACCATCATTTCATTATCATCATAAAAGTCCTTCCTATAATCCATTTTAATTTCCACAGCTAATCCCAAGTCAACCACCATTTGAAAAGCATTAAGATGTTGTTCTGCATATAATGGCCAGGCAGCAACTGGAACACCAAATCTTACACTTTCTAGTGTAGAATTCCATCCACAATGCGACGCAAACCCTCCCACAGCTGGATGTGCTAAAATATCTACTTGCGGAGCCCATCCAATAACCTTTCCCATCTTGGTAGTACGATCCAAAAAACCTTCAGGTAAAATTTCTTGAAAATTTTCGTAATCACTCGGCGATTCTGCTTCACCTTTCTGTATCTGTGAAGGTTTTCGGAGAGACCACAAGAATCGGTGTCCACTGTGCTCTAGTGCAAATGCTATCTCTGTCACCTGTTTTTCACTAAAACTTCCCCAGCTGCCGAAACACAAAAACATAACCGATGATGGAGGCTGATCATCAAGCCATTCCATGATGTCTCTGTAATTGTCGCTCTCATTTGATCGCAAATCACGACCATCTCCTACTTGTTTCACAATGGGCCCCACGGGATACACGGGTGGTGTTTTGCCATCTGAAAGAGAGTTAACGGCATGAGATTCAAACTCTACAAATGTATTTACCAAAATACCCCTCGCTTCGGTCAATATTCTTGTGTGTTCGATAAAAGCAGTGATCATCTCTTTCTCGAACAAAAACGAAGGCCAAAGTTTAGCAGGAAGTGGGTTCGCCAAACTCGGAAAGTTCAACTCAGCATCCGAGTTCTTGAACTCCGTAAGGTCCACTCCCTGCTCATCGTGAAGAACCTGAAAATGCAACATGAAACCAATAAAAGCTGCACCTGAAGCAGAGAAAACATACCATGGAACCCCAAATTCATTAGCGGCATCTCTCATCCCAATAACAAAAGTATCAAAAACAAACCCAGCAACTTGAGGAGATTCCGGGCTCAACTCGGATTGAGTTCTAATCCTGGAAACATATTCTTTGACATGGGGTTTTTGGCCTTCAATCAAAGAAGTAAGCCAGCTACGGCCTTTAGGCTCTGGTGCTATGGACTCTGATATGGACTCAATATTTGGGAAGTTAATGACTCGCATACGATCGGGCAGAGTTGATGCAGTAAGTGACTCACTATATTTGGTTGTGGTGGGGTCAAGAGTTGGATGCATAATGAAAACAGTTGCGGAAAGTCGATCATCACGTCGAACAAGAAGCTTAGCTACCTCTACCAGTGCTACAATGTGACCCATAGCAGGTGCGGGGATAAACACCACCTCTGCTTTCTTCATTTTCGCTTGAAAAATAAAAACTTCTAGCAAGAAGCTAGGGACGAGTGTTGTTTCCTTAGGATGTCTTGTGCTGATCTATCTTGTCGGAAAGTATAAATCTTGAATCTCTGAGATAGTGAGATGTCTTGTGCTGATATATCTTGTCTTAAATATAGATCCTGAAGGTCTAGAATCAAAGTGATGTCATTGCTTTGCTAGCGTGCGGTGGACTTTCTGTGGGCTGGAATAGGCCAATACAGCAGTTACAGCTAGCAAACTTGACTGGAAAACGTTACACCTTGTCCTCCTTTCTCGTGCAAGGAATATAAATCATAAAAAGTTCTCGATGATGTTTCAAGAAATGCCCCCAATAGTCGCACCGTTTAGGAAAAGTCATAGATTCTGGTTGAAGAATCTTAGAAATTGATTATGATTTAAAATTAATTATAATCCATGTGATGCATATTTAAAATATAAAATTAACTATAATTTATATAAATATAATTAATTGTGATTCATATGATACATAATATTTAAAATATATCTAATATTAATTATAATATATTATATATATTAATAAAAATGTATATAATTAATTAATTAAAATAAAAATACACACATATATAAATTGTATCTAATTAATTGAGCTACATATAATTAATTATAATACATATATTTAATTAATTATGATACATGTAATTAATAATAATAGATGATCAAGTTTGATAGAAATTTTAGGTTAAGACTACAAAAAAGGATCAAACGATATTCATCATTAAAAAAAAATCAAGATTAAAAAAATTATTGATTCATTATCTTCTTTTTAATATTGATTCAAAAGTCCAAATGTGAATCAAAATACATTTTCATTTTTAAATAATTATATAAAAAAATGAAATTCTAATTAACTGAACTCAAATCCAAACCTAATTAGAATTTTGTTTTTGAGTTAAAAACCAAATTTCAGTTTCAATTGTGATTTTTTGGGTTTAAACCGATTTTATTTTGTTTTGTTTTGTTTTGTTTTGGATTAAGGGCTTGTATTGCTATAGATAAAAGGACCTTGATTCCTAAAAATTTAATTCCATTTCTAAACTTATTTTTTAATAACATATTATCATTTTAGACTTTTTAACATCCATCATAAAAATACAATTTATTAGCATCTGTAATAAAAAATAAATCAAGTATTAAAATTTATCAAAATAATCATTATCTTCCAAGTGACATTTCCTTATAAAAAAACACTCCTCAAAACCAAATAGTCTATCAAAATATTCAAATTTAAAAAATTAAAATATTAAGTAAATTAAAATTAAAAACTTAATCATATCACCACTAATCATTATTAACTTTAATTTTCTTAAAATTTTAAAAATCTTGTAAAAATGGTAATTGATATCCCATGAATTTCGAAGTCAATTTTAAATACTACAAGAAAAGTCATGCTTAAAAAATGATTAAGTTGCTCATTTTGAACGCTTGAACGAAGGAAGGAAGAAAGGAGGTGTCTTTCTCTAGTGGGTTGGACTGTCAGCTGTTGGTGACAGCTGGGTGAAGGAAGGAAGGGAAGTCTCTTCTCCGGTCGGGGTGAGAGAATATCTGGTTTAGGTGAGGCTGTGACCGTAAATCAAAATAATTTCGGTTCATTTGTTTTCTTCTTTTAATGATTTAAAAATCTGGACCAAAATTAATATTCGAATTTAATTCTTTTTTATCAAGATTTTCTAGTCAAATTATTGAAATTATTCACCTAATTTTTATAAAACTAATTTTTATCCTCAAAATACTTTTGTAAACCAATCAAATAGATGACTTTCATTTACAAATCCTATAACTAATTTCGATATTTTAGAATTGCAATGAAGAAAAATTAAACACTTAAAATATATTCAAAATCAGTTAGAGATATAAAAATCTTGCAAAGAGAACGTTCTTAATTATTAAGAAAATAAAACCGAGGACACTATTGAATAGAATTAAAAAGCATAGGGGTATAATTGCAAAAAAAACATAAAGAGCAAAGGACTACCTTAACACTTTGAAAACATCATCGTTTTGAAGATAGTGAACGTACTATTCACTATATTTCTTAGGTAAAACTAGTTTTTATCCGTACTATGCTGCAATTAGACAAAACATATAAAATTATTTTAGTTTGATAGTATGTATTATAGTATGGATCTACTAAAATATATCAAATTAAAAGTAAAATCAAAACTATTTTAAAAATTCTTTTTGCTTTTAACCGATTATTCATTATGTTTTTTATAACTTTTTTGCTAAAAAGAACATGATTTATTCTTTTATATCCAAATTCTTAACTAAAAACTTATGAAAAAAATTCAAAAGTCCATAGATTCTTAACTAAAAACTTTTTTTATTTTTTATTTTTAAAAAATATAAGGCTAATTATCTAAAAAACACTTTTAATCTTTAGATTAAATCTATATATATTGTAAACTATATATATATATATATATATATATATATATATATATATATATATATACTATATATATATATATATATATATATATCACGAGGATGAAATTACAATACAAATAAATTTGTTGAAAATGACGGACTAAAAATAACACGAGCAAAACTTTAAGCATAAAATGCTCGGAAAAAACCTCAAAATCACTAATAAAAAAAAACCCATTCAATGCATAGTAAAAAGATGGTGAATAGTTTTGTGAATAAAATAAATACCTAAAAATATTACTTAAAATAATGAAAATGCCACTAATGTCATGAGGGATGAAATTCAAAGACAAATAAAGTTATGGATTAAAATAAAATTTATTGAAAAAAAGAGGGATTAAAAATAACATGAGCAAAACTTTAAGCATAAAATGCTTGGAAAAAACCTCAAAATACAAAAAAAAAAAAAACATTCAATGCATAGTAAAAAGAGGGTGAATAGTATCGTGAATAAAATAAATACCTAAAAAAATACTTAAAATAACAAAAACACCACTATCTTAAAACCACAAAAATGCCATCAAGTGAATAGTGTTATATGAATGTGTGAATAATGTAAGAATAGTGAAAACCCCATCTCTCTTAGGGTTCTTCATTGTGAATAAAATAAATACCTAAAAAAATATTTAAAATAATAAAAATGCCAATCCCTTAAAATCACAAAAATACTATCAAGTAAATAGTATTATGTTAGAGTATGAATGGTATGAGAATAGTGAAAATCCAATTTCTTTTCGGATTCTTTACTAGTTGGATACCCACGTTACGTTGCGATCGGATAATCATTATATACATAAAGTCAACGATTTATATGGTATATAATATGGATAAAAATCCTATTTTTCATAATTAATGTAAATCAAATTCATTTGCTAAGAAAAATCATTTGTTTTATATACATTTATTAACAAAATAATCAATAATATTAGCATAAAAAGTTATATTTGAATAATTGAAAGGTTCTTTCAAAACATTATTTCAATTATTTAATTTAAAAAATATTGATTCTAGAATATAAAAAAGAATAAATAAAAAATAATTGGTATTATGTGTGCGGATATATAATTAATTTTTAACAAAACTAATAATATATATTTCAATTATTTTATTAAAAATATTGATTTTAAAACATAAAAAATATTAAATAATTAATAATTAATATTATGTATGTAGATACATAACTAATTTCCAACAAAACCAATATATATATACACATGGACACACACATATTTCAATTATTTTATTAAAAAATATTAATTTTAAAATATAAAAAATAATAAATAACAAATAATTAATGTTATGTATGCACATACATAACTAATTTTCAACAAAACTAATATATACACACACACACACACACTTAATAGATTCAAAGTACATAGTATAAATTGTTTTTTTAAAAAAAAATCTAAATTGTATGAAATGCACTAAACCAAAACATAAGTTTACTATTCCAATCACTATTCACCCATTCTCATATACACTATTCATTTAGACTTACATGCACTATTTCTTTTATTATGCGGTGATATTTTTATAAATTTCAAATATTTTTTAAACATTTATTATGAATATTTTCATAACATTACGTCTTGGATCTCTTTTTTTTAATATTGTTTTTTCAATCCGTAAATATTTTTTGTTTGATTTTGGTCACTTTAATTCTTTTTTCTCTAAATTTTTTTAATTTGGTACTTTTTTCTTTTTAAAAAAATAAAAAAATTTAAGAAAAATTTTCATAACATTACACTTTAATCCTTCTTTTTTAAATATTATTTTTTCAATCCATAAATATTTTTTGTTTGATTTTTTATTCCTCTTTATTGTTTTATTTTGGTCACTTCGGTCCTTTTTTCTATTTTTTTTATTTTGGTCCTTTTTTCTTTTATTTTTTTAATCAAAAAATTTCAGGAAAAAAAATATTTGAAAAAAATTACAAATAAGTTTTTAGTGAAGAATCTATTGGTTTTAACACTCTTTATACTATTGAAAAAATTTAGTTTGTGGGTAGAGATAAATAAATAATATCTTTTAATCAAAATTTTATTAAAAATATAAAGAATAGTCACTCAAATAAAAAATTTTGATTAAAAATTATAAAATTTAACGAATTTTATTCATTTTTAATTTGCTATATTTTGATAGACACACAATATAACATGAGACATTAAAATGAAAAAATTGTTAAAAAACAATTTCATGTATTGTAAAAAATCTAGTAAAAACTATTACAAAATTGATTTTCATAAATTTTTCTTCTTAATTTATAATGAAAGAGATTCTTGAATTGTAAATTAAATTATAAATTAGTTCATCTCATTTTGAAAAATGAATTGATTAATTCTTTTGGTTTCAAAATAAATTATTTAATTTTAATATATATATATAGTTGTTCTAAAATTTAAAAAGCATAAGAGATCAAAAATATCTTTTAAAAATATGAGAAACAAAAAATATATTTTGAAAAAATTTGAGACAAAAATTGATTAAGTTAAAAACATGATATGTCAAAATATTTTTAAAAATATGAGGAT